TTATTTTTAATTTACATAAGAACATAAGAATGTAGGAACACTGCAGAAGGCCTACTGGCCCATACGAGGCAGGTCCTTATCAAAACGACATCTACCTAAAGCTACTCAAGAAATAACTCCCGTACCCCTTGACACCAATCAAACCCAGCCCCTCCCACTCATATATTTACAGGCTAAGATTTTTCATCCTACTTCGCTCATTTCCCCTTCCTACCTAAGGATTACTACCACATCCTGCGAACCACAGCAGCCGAGGGACTGACCACCCCAAAACAACTTCAAGGTAAATGGACTGATGACACCGTCACCTCTCTGCTGTCTCCATATTTACAGAAGCCTCCTCTGTTTCCAAAATAAAGGTACCTACTTACCTGTTGCACATGTGTCTTACTCATGTGCTTAAATACCTGTTTACTACTAAGTGAACAGGGACAGCAGGGGTAAAAATTTTTTTTTTTTTTTGTAGAATGTTTAAATCATTTTGGAATGATTTATTAATCTTTTATTAAAATGGTCATTAATAAACTTCAAATGAAACAAGAAAAAAGTGAACATAATGAACAAGAGGCCTTTTAGTTCACAAAGGCCAAAAAGGCACAATACCGTAACTGGAACAATACACAACAACCGGAACATAGGAGAGACTTGTGACGACGTTTCGGTCCGACTGGGATCGAAACGTCGTCAGTCGGACCGAAATGTCGTAACAAGTTTCTCAGTCCTATGTACGGGTTATTTTTGTATATTTTTAGTACATGTCACAGTGCCAGGTTCGAACTATGATGACACTGTTTACTGGGAAGCAGTCAGGCTTAATCCGAGGAAGGAGAAGGTGGCTCCAGTTCTTTGGAACAAGAGCCATTGACCGGCATCAAGGAGCCCCAATCGGACGGTCCCCAGACGCCAATCTCACTGAATGCGCTTAACTAATAATCCTCAAGAACTCTGAGCAAAGGTCAAGATCAGAATTAATAAGGTCAAGTCGGAATTTAAAGGTCATAATCATTAAAGAATTAAGGTTAATATGGCAAAGATCAGAATTTAAAAGTGAAGGTCAGCAGAATGTCAGGGTTAATATAAAAATAAGGTCAAGATTAGAATAAAAGGTGAAGGTCGATAATGGCTTGACCCTGCGCGACGGTCAACTTCAAGCTCCCAGCCCCTGGGAGGTGATCCTCGTCTCTGACCCCGTCTGTGACTCGTGACTGTTTACGTACAGTAACGACCTGGGAGCAGTCAGGGAGGAGGGAATATATGTTTTAGTTTTGAGGGGTATGGGGGGAGGGGAAGGCAGAGGGGAGGAGGAGGGAGGGGAAAGCTGAGGGGAAGGGGAGAGCGGAAGGTTGAGGGGAAGGGGCGTAAGCATGCAAATACAATTATTTTCTACCCGCACAGTAGTTCGTGTAGCAAAGAATTCGGGTTTGTGAACTGATAATAAAAAAAAAAATAAAAATTTCAAAATACAGCTGAATGAAAAATTTATTAAAAAAACTCTAAAATTGAGTTTTTTTTTTTTTTAAGTCCAGTATATCAGGGATTTTTAACCTAAAGGTATCTTAATATCAGTGGGGGAAAAAAATAAAAATTTCCAGAAAATGTTTGAAAACTTCGCAAACCGTGAAAAAAAAATTCCAAGCGAGGAGTAACAGGCCTACTGCAGTGCCTTTTTTTATAGTCCGTTACGTGGCATGTTACCTGCTGCATGTTATGGCCTGTTACATAACATATATCCTACTGCAGTGATCTTTTTCGTGCTCTATAACCAGACAAATTTCACACCTGGGTGAAACTGCGCATTGCTGATATATATATATACACAAAAAAAAATCCAGATCACACGTTTATTGGGACAACGTTTCGCTCTGTGCAGAGTTCTATCAAGTCATCAGATGACTTGACCTATTAAAGTTCCATGCAGAGAGAAAAGTTGACCCCACTAACGCTTGCTCTACAACAACCCTTTCTTCACATTTCACAGCTCTTGTAAGGAGGATGCACACTACACACACTGGACAGACTATGTCAACAGTGTAATATTTGTGTAATATATATACTATCCTAGTTTATTTATAGACAGGCTCCCTGACCCCTGTCTGAGCCACGCACCTTGGCTGGCGACCCAGTAGACGAGCAGACAGGGGACAGGCTGGGCTCAGTCATGATTATCAATACAACGCCTTCATAACAGTTCAACATCACTTGCATCGAACCCCTTAACAACTATGCTAAAACTAAAGTCTAATAACATTATTTTGAAAGATATAATAACAAAGGCTTATATCTCAATAACTAAATAACTATATAACTAAACGCCTCAGGTTGATTTAAGACAAAGAGGTGTATTAAATATATGCAACAGACCTATACAGTCCTAAATATAGGTCGTTAGAACCACATATGTTAAGTGCGAGGTAATTGGTACTATTTAATGTTAAACCTGAGTGGCACTGCCCGATACTGTTAAGGCAGTATGATCACTCACAGGATGAGTGGCACTACCAGATACTGTTCTTATGGCAGTATGATCACTCACAGGATAAGTGACACTACCAGATACTGTTCTTATGGCAATATGGTCACTCACAGGATAAGTGGCACTACCAGATACTGTTCTTATGGCAGTATGGTCACTCACAGGATAAGTGGCACTACAAGATACTGTTCTTATGGCAGTATGATCACTCACAGGATAAGTGGCACTACCAGATACTGTTCTTATGGCAATATGATCACTCACAGGATAAGTGGCACTACCAGATACTGTTCTTACAGTATGATCACTCACAGGATGAGTGGTCAGTCCATCCTCTTAACATAAGACAAACTTAACTGTTGCTATGACAATAAAACTGGCAAATCTTTAACTTTAAACAGTGATTATCTGACTTGGATTTTTTTTACTGCGCACAGCGGGTCTCCGCTTACTGCTCGCCTGACGGAACTTACTTTTTTATAGCCGGAAATTTATATTTCATTTACTGTCCTTGTGGAGAGATATAACTGGAAAATCTAATTTAACCCAAACCAGTCTAGCTCATACAGCGTAGATTAAGAAATTTATTGGCATCCACGTTTGAGGAATCCACGTGTGAGGAATCCACGTGTGTGTGTGGAATCCACGTGATGAATCCATGTGTGAGGAATCCACGTGTGTGTAGAATCCAAGTGTGAAGAATCCACGTGTGAGGAATCCACGTGTGTGGAATCCACATGTGAAGAATCCACATGTGAAGAATCCACATGTGAAGAATCCACATGTGAAGAATCCACATGTGAAGAATCCACATGTGAAGAATCCACATGTGAAGAATCCACGTGTGATGAATCCACGTGAGATGAATCCACGTGTGATGAATCCACGTGTGATGAATCCACCTGTGATGAATCCACGTGAGATGAATCCACGTGTGATGAATCCACGTGTGATGAATCCACGTGTGAGAAATCCACGTGTGAGGAATCCACGTGTGAGGAATCCACGTGTGAGGAATCCACGTGTGAGGAATCCACGTGTGAGGAATCCACGTGTGAGGAATCCACGTGTGAGGAATCCACGTGTGAGGAATCCACGTGTGAGGAATCCACGTGTGAGGAATCCACGTGTGAGGAATCCACGTGTGAGGAATCCACGTGTGAGGAATCCACGTGTGAGGAATCCACGTGTGAGGAATCCACGTGTGAGGAATCCACGTGTGAGGAATCCACGTGTGAGGAATCCACATGTGAGGAATCCACATGTGAGGAATCCACATAAAATTTACAAGGATGGGTTAGGAAGATGGATTGCGAGGATGGGTTAGGAAGATGGGTTGCGAGGATGGGTTAGGAAGATGGGTTGCAAGGGTGGGGTGCCTCAGCCTCTCCCCAGGATCCCCTTACACGTTTCCAAGAGACACAGTCATTCCCTGAAGGAAATCTTTCTCCTGCCTCAGTCTGGCTCGATGTCTAGTGATGGCTGGGTCCCCCTTTTTTTTTTTTTTTTGTCCGCGTCTGAATGTTAATTAATTTGCTGCCTCCTGACTGACACTTGCCACCAGATACGGTTAAATTTCAGCTGAATATTTTGCATCATATGTGCACGCAAGCAGGTCGTAACCGAAGCCTTAGTTTGGGGATTATAGTGGGTGGGTAATCATGATATTCACGGAGTATTTTGACCCTTGGGTCACTCAGCGCTCACTGCCATGAATGTATTACGTCACACATGCAATAATAATAAGAATAAATTTAACAAACAAAAGAGCAACGAACATAAATGGTATTAAATTAACCCTGAAGTTAATGATCCTATCGAAGTCAATGGGTTTCAATCCCAAAATTTACACCTTTGTATATTTAGGGTGTCAAATCTAATTTCCAGAGTAAGGCACCACTGAGGTTGATCATATTGGAGTGGATAGAAGTGGAAGAGTTGAAAGGTAAAGCTCAATTTCAAAGCACCAAATTCTATTTCACGTTTCAAGTGACACTTACTTATACCGTGACTCAGGGAGAAGAAAAACTCCCAGAGATCATCAAAGGTATATCAAAGGTAGCTTAAAATCTCATAGCTGAGCTGCAGTTTAGTAACAGAATCAGAACAATAACAGATCACGAAGGATCGACCCTCCATCATCTCCCTGCGTTGAATGACCCCCTGGTCATGGACCGCGCCGCGGGGGCGTTGACCCCTGGAACCCCCTCCAGGTATATTCCACAGGCTTAGCGCCAGGCGGAGACGCCAATGCACCACCCTGGAAACCCCTCACAGGTGCACCACAGGTATAGCTAACGAGCTCTAGACTCAGTCATTAGGAGTTGAAATTGCAAATAAAAACAACAGTTACAATCAACAGGTCACTTAGAATATTCTATTTAAATCAGCTGATTAATCATCATTATTTTTCCCAATATTAAAACACCCATTACATCAATATTTAGTGCTTCAATTAATGCAAATACGTACTACGGACACAAATGAGTCAATTAGATGTCTGCAATGTATGTTCTAGTTATGCTGTTTATGTGGCATCTACTGTGTTTGTTTCAATGACATTTCTACCTGAAAGAAAATAAAATACCGTGATTGGAACCGTACACAAATAACCCGCACATAGAGAGAGAAGACTTACGACGAGGTTTTGGTCCGACTTGGGCCGTTGAGTAGTCATACCTCTACGTTGTATATTACACTGCAATGTTGTATATCACGTGGCTATGTAGTGTATCACCTTGCCATGTTGTATATCACATTACTATATTGTCTATCACGTTACTATGTTGTCTCTAAGGCTGGTATGTTGTAGATCACGTTGTCAAGTTAGTATGTATCTTGTTGCTATGTGAAATATCACGCTGATGAGTGTTGCATGTGATGTGCATTACGTTATGTTACATGTATTGCATATCCCGTGGAGGTATGTTGCATGTGATGCATATCACTGGCATGTGTTGCGTGAGACATTCAGTATCTGGTCCTCAGCATCACCAGGTCTACTCTCACTCATGATCTGTATAAGGACAAGATCATCTCCCAGAGCCCAGTAATGAATCTCTCTCTCTCTCTCTCCTATCCATTCAAGACCCCTTCCTTCTGCCTCCTCTTCCTTTCTTTATCCGTGTTGCCTTCTCCCAGAGTGCCACACAAGGCATTGTGTTGGTGCCTCGTTACTTTCATCAAGGGCCTTGACAGGCCTTCCTCTGGGAAGTCGTTAGCGACACGCGACTCGCACTCTAACATGAAAAGAGAGATCATGCACTCTCGCCCTAATGAGCCTCTGAAACGCCTTGCGAACGCCTATAACATCTTACGGACGCATGCATTATGTCTACCGATATTTACAACACCTAATACCGGTAACATCTTTATCATAATATAAGCAGGTAGGTGTGTGTGTGTGTGTGTGTGTGTGTGTGTGTGTGTGTGTGTGTGTGTGTGTGTGTGTGTGTGTGTGAGAGAGAGAGAGAGAGAGAGAGAGAGAGAGAGAGAGAGAGAGAGAGAGAGAGAGAGAGAGAGAGAGAGGAGAGAGAGAGAGAGAGAGAGAGAGAGAGAGAGAGAGAAACAAAAGAGTGACTTACCTGTACACATGGGGTGAGTTGTAAAGTCCGGTGGTTCCGGAGTGTCATCACTACTGTTGCTCCTGTTTCTGTCTTCCTGTTCCTCTTCCGGCTCCTCCCCGTCGGTGCCAGCGTCAGTGGTGCCAGACATAGGGGTAGCACTCTCCGGGAAGTGGTGGTCGAGGTCTGACTTGGCCTGCACCGTCAGCAGGGAGTGTACCTCGTCAGGGCAGGACGCCACCTTCCCCGCCTGGCTAGTGCCAGTCCGTGCCACCATCGTAGTGACACCTTCTGAGGTAGTCAGTGAGACCCGCGGTGTATCACTGCTGGTGGCACCCTCTGAATAAGGCAGTGCCACCTTCAATGTGTCACTGCTGGTGGCACCCTCTGAGCGAGGCAGTGCTAGTTTCAATGTATCACTGCTGTTGGCAATTTCTGAGTGAGCCAGGGATAAAGTCGCTTTGTCACTGCTGGTGACACCCTCTAAGGTAGTCAGTGACACTGTACACGGTGCTTCATGCTTACCAACAGTACTCTTCCCAACATTCTCATACGCTCCACTGATCACTGGACTCCTCTCTGGGAAACCATTTTCATCTGTCTGTGCTGCAGCGCCACCTTCAGCGCCTTCGTCGGTGGTCGTATCCTTCAGGAGGTCGGCTTTGTGGTCGTCAGAGTAGGTGGGGAGGCGTGGGCGGGCGTGTGGGTGCAGGGCGGTGTGGTGTGGGTAACGCTGAGTGCCCCGTGGAAGACTGTGGCAAGGGTCGGTGGAGTTGACTGGGCTCTGGGCAGCAGGAGCAGCGTCATAGGTGAGAGGGGGAAAGAGGGGGAGGAGTTCTGCCCCTCCTACAGGTTCCTCCTCCCCTCCTAAAGGTTTCTTCTCCTCCCCTCCCACGGGGAGGCTCGGGGCACGCGCCAGGCCCACCCCTGCGCTCTCTGGGGCACTCTGACCTCTTGCAAGCCTGGAGGCCGAGGCCGGGTCACTCACTCTGAGGAAAGCTCGATCAACAATAGTCTTCGATATGTCTACATTTTTACCCTCACCTACATCACCTTGGTCCTCATTGTCAGCACCTTCATCTTCGCCAACGCCCTCATCTTCGCCAACACCCTCATCTTCGCCAACACCCTCATCATCGCCAACACCCTCATCATCGCCAACGCTTTCATCTTCACCTGCTTCTTCAGGTCCGGTAGCATCGTCACCACCGGCACTGCCTGCTGCCCCGTCATCTTCGTCATCTTCACTGTCATCTTCGAGCCACCTGCGGAAGAAGATTCAAAGCCATATTCACTGTCATCATCACTGCATAAATATACTAAAAAAAATCCGCCTGTGTCTAGCACAAAAAAATATATAAGAACAGGAGGAATTATCATTTCCTACAGGGAAACGCTAATCCCGTAGGAGTCGTACAGCGCCTGGGGAAACAGGACGCGAGGAGAGCCTAGATCAGGAGCCTCTCAAGCATTAAGGAATAACCCTCTTCATACCTTTAAGAGAGGAAAGAAACTGAACTGTACACAACCTAGTGGCCCAACATATATACATGTACTTGAAACTTTCTAGGTTTATTTGCATCAATAATGCTACCTAGCGGCTGTTCGGTCACTCTTGGTAGCTTGATATCCTAGCCAATGTTTAACTAGTTATATACAGATTTAAATACAGAACCCTGGGTGCTATCTGGAGAGATAGTGTTCAGAACCTCGTACATATTCAGTGCGCTAAACCATTTAACTTATTTACACACGTCTACGATGTTGTCCCTTCCCTCGGTGAAGACCGGCAGACAGAGAATTGAGCCTCCACTAATGCTGGAGCTAAAAGACCCACGGGTTTAGCGCTGTGTTGGCAATACATGTACACTGGTACAGTACAAGGCCTCTTCCTCCACGCTTCTCCGAATACTGCAGGTTCACCCGTGTTATTACTGGTCAGGTAAATAAGATAAACAATGAGGGTTATGACATTTTATTGTCACTGCTTTACCACTGATAATATAATTCCATAATTCCGTATTGTGTTACACATATACTGGCGTTATATCCTAATGGAAATAAATCACTTTGACTCTCTTTTGGGGGTTATCCTACGTAATTTACACATGTTACAATATATGATAACTGCACTTGTGTGTACCTATACCTAAGTAAACTTATTTACTTACTCTACCACTGAATTACCAATGTTGGTAATACTCTGTATTACTTTAGTTATCCCTCTCTGTATGCTGTAGGTTTTCTATGACTCGGGCCAGAAATTAAAAAAAATCGAAATTGTTAGTCCGGAGGGTTAGTAACCCAGAATAACCCAATAAAGCCAGGCTGTCATTAAGGACTATCTGTTATATTTTCATTGAGGCCCTCCCTCCTCAGGATGCGACCCACACCAATCGGCTGTCACCAAGGATTACACCAATACATAAAGGTGGTGACCCTACAGACTTAAACAACTAAAGGCCAATATCTAACTTACCATTGCTATCCAAAATCTTTGAGAAACTCGTGCACAGGAGACTGTATTCATTTATAACGGCTCAAAACATACTCAACCCCTGCCAATTTGGATTAAGGAAAAATAAAAGCACTAATGATGCAATCATAAAAATGCTAGATCTGCTTTACACAGCATTGGAAAATAAGGAATATGCACTAGGAATTTTTATTGACCTAAGAAAAGCTTTTGACACAGTAGACCACGACATCCTACTCCACAAACTTGATCATTACGGTATAAGAGGCCATGCGTTTGCTTATTTCAAATCTTACATTACTAATAGGTATCAGTATGTCACCATTAAAGACACAGCATCAGCAACACGGCCACTTGATACTGGAGTTCCGCAGGAAAGTGTCCTTGGTCCCCTGCTCTTCCTCATATACATCAATGACCTTCCAAACGTATCCCAACACCTGAAACCCATTCTCTTTGCTGACGACACGACTTATGTCATCTCTCACCCTAATCTTGCCACCCTCAACACCACTGTGAATGAGGAGCTGATCAAAATATCGACTTGGATGACAGCCAATAAACTTACGCTTAACACTGACAAAACCTACTATATTATGTTTGGTAGCAGAGCAGGAGATGCACAAATTAACATTAAGATTGAAAACACTCTAATTACCAGAAATAATGGGGGCAAATTCCTAGGCTTATACCTTGACAACAACCTGAATTTCAGCACCCATATCTAGCATATAACCAAAAAAGTATCCAAAACGGTTGGGATCCTCTCCAAGATACGATACTACGTGCCGCAAAATGCCCTTCTCACACTATACCACTCACTTATTTATCCATACCTCACCTATGCTATTTGTGTTTGGGGATCAACTGCAGCAACACACCTAAAGCCAATAATAACCCAACAAAAAGCTGCAGTAAGAATAATCACTAAATCCCATTCCTGGCAACACCCCCCCCCCACTCTTCATAGACCTAAACTTACTCCCTGTTCAGTACATCCACACTTACTACTGTGCAATCTACATCTACAGGGCCTTAAACTCTAATATCAACCTTGACCTAAAACGCTTTCTTGATAGTTGTGACAGAACCCACAGACATAACACCAGACACAAACATCTCTACGACATTCCCCGTGTCCGACTAAACCTTTACAAAAATTCAATGTATGTCAAAGGCCCTAAAATCTGGAATACCCTACCTGAGAACTCTAGAACTGCAGACACATTCATCACCTTCAAAACTACCATTAGAAAACATCTTATCTCCCTGATACACCCTGTCAACTAACTACACGAATACCACCTGGTGGTTCACACTTACACTCACTGACTCATTTGACCATAAACAGAAATATTAATCTCAATCTTAAAATAATGAATCCTGTGATACTCCAATACTGAAACTATGTACTGTGCCAAAACAAAAGCATTTACATTGCTAAACTCACAAACTAGTATTTAGTCACTTAGCCATAATACCAACTTACCTCATAATTTGTAATATTTTACAATTAAGAATGAAACTAAGTCTGCCCGAAATGCCTAGCCATGCTAGGTGTTCTAGTGGTACACTCTGTAATCACTATTTTACTACATGTAAACCACACAATAACCAAATTTCTGTAAACTCAGCATTGTAATCCTTATAGAGAATAAACTTTGAATTTGAATTTGAACGGCTGCTAGTTGAACAGGGGACAGCAGATGTAAGGAAACATTCCCAATATTTCCACTCGCGTCGGGGATCGAACCCTTCGGTGTTCGAGCTGAGGCGGCTACCACTGGTCTCAGACCAGGATTTCTTAAACTGGAAAAAAGCTATTACAGATATAATTACTTAGGTAAACTAGTCCAAACTACAACTATTAGTACACTACCAGCACACAACCACCCACACTACCAGCACACAACCATCCACACTACTAGCACACAACCATCCACACTACCAGCACACAACCATCCACACTACCAGCACACAACCACCACACTACCAGCACACAACCACCCACACTACCAGCACACAACCATCCACACTACCAGCACACAACCATCCACACTACCAGCACACAACCATCCACACTACCAGCACACAACCACCCACACTACCAGCACACAACCATCCACACTACCAGCACACAACCATCCACACTACCAGCACAACCACCCACACTACCAACCACACAACCATCCACACTACCAGCACACAAACACACCACACTACCAGCACACAAACACCCACACTACCAGCACACAACCACCCACACTATCAGCATACAACCACCCACACTACCAGCACAACCACCCACACTACCAGCACACAACCATCCACACTACCAGCACACAACCACCCACACTACCAGCACACAACCATCCACACTACCAGCACACAACCATCCACACTACCAGCACACAACCATCCACACTACCAGCACAAACCACCCACACTACCAGCACACAAACACCCACACTACCAGCACACAAACACCCACACTACCAGCACACAACCACCCACACTATCAGCACACAACCACCACACTACCAGCACAACCCCCCACACTACCAGCACACAACCATCCACGCTACCAGCACACAACCATCCACGCTACCAGCACACAACCATCCACGCTACCAGCACACAACCATCCACGCTACCAGCACACAACCATCCACCTACCAGCACACAACCACCCACACTACCAGCACACAACCACCCACACTACCAGCACACAACCATCCACACTACCAGCACACAACCACCCACACTACCAGCACACAACCACCCACACTACCAGCACACAACCACCCACACTACCAGCGCACAACCACCCACACTACCAGTACACAACCATCCACACTACCAGCACAACCACCCACACTACCAGCACACAACCATCCACACTACCAGCACACAACCACAACTTGAGGCTCCTTACCGAAATTCAGATCTAAATTCACATATAACCCGCACTTGGGAGCGGAAGCTGATGACGATGTTTCGGGTCCGTGTCGGACCTGCTAATGGTACAGAATGGACCGAAACGTCGTTGACATGTTCCCTCTGTTAAGTGCATTGTTGCAGCCACGGTACTGTTGTGCGTTATTTGTGAATTGTTCAAGCCACGGTATTATGGGTATTTATAAATTGTTCCAGCCACGGTATTATGGGTATTTATAAATTGTTCCAGCCACGGTATTGTGCGCTATTTGTGACTTGTTCCAGCCACGGTACTAAGACTTTAACCTTTAATCAGCTCTGCCTTACTCTTAACCAACTCGCAGACACAGTTACTGGTCAACTCGTCCTCAGTCATGTTACCGTACGTGGGAAAATGCACTAACTAAATTTAGCTCTTCGTCCCCGCGTTACCAGAAACTCCGTATTTAACTGCGTTAATGTCCATTATTTATACGGAAACAAGAGGTAATATACATTGCTCTAACCTGACCTGATCTACAAAAAAAAAAAAAAAAAAAAAAAAACTGACAGTTCATTTGTTGGGAAATGCACGCACGGAAATTCGTGTGGAACTGGTTGCCCTAATTACCACCACTTCTGGGATTGTACCATTCGGGTTTAGCACTTCAGAATAAGTAATAATGATAATGATACTCACACACACACAAACCTAGAAGAAAAGCAACGCCCAACGTGGGGCTCGAACCCACGACCCCGAGATTAAGAGTCTCGTGCTCTACCGACTGAGCTAGCCGGGCTTCATGCCAATAATACACACACACACACACACCACACACACACACACACACACACACACACACACACACACAC